AGAGTTTTTTTAATAATTTCTTTTTTCATGAACAGGACATTCCACTAATAATGCTGCATTATATACCTGTCTTTCATTGCTAAGTGAGACAACGGTCAGATTAGTCACTTCTACTTCAGAGCTTTTACTTCCGGATAACTTTATCTCGTGTTTCTCTTTGCTATTGGCAGGTCCCAGCAAATCACGGATTGTTTCATTGTAGATTTCAAGGAAACAGGCTTCCATTTCATACTATTATAGAACAAGAAAATAAAGTCAAATGTACAACCTCAATACAGGGTGACTAGAAAAAGGCATAGTTTAAAGCGTGGTGGTCGCCGCGCAGCGCGTGTTCGAATTTCATGTAAATAAACAATGTATTGTACATGTTTTGTATACGACGCTATGAGTCCCATATCGAACAGGACGCGGCGCGACGACTGCCGCCCTTTAATTTGTTACAAGGCTGGTATAAAAAGAATAATGAGTAAATAAGAGCTGCATTGCCAGCAAAGTTCTACAAACACTTAGTATTATTGCTTAAAAAAAAAAAAGGCGTCAATTGAATGAAATAAATTGGGGGTATCAAACTATACTGATAGCAGTATAACCTTACCCTAAGCAACAATTCTGAATTGAATGTTGATCAAAAGGCATAAAAACTTGCGTTCATAATTCATGATGTAATGATACTACTAAAATTGTATCTTCAGACTTTCAAACAACCAGGAAACAACTTCCAAAAGCAGATTCTTAAGGTATACTGTACCTTCCATCCCATGTCTTTCAAACTTTCACAACTGTCAAATATCTGCGACGCTGCCCGGGGAATCATACCACGTGTTTCAGTAGTACAGTTTTCCGGACCTTCCATAGTGAAAGTTTTACCTGAGCCAGTCTGTCCATAAGCAAAAATGCACACATTGTAGCCATCGAGGGCACTCTGAGAAGAAAATGTATAAATGGCATAGAAGATTATAACAAGCAAATCTATAATATTTTAAAGTGGAGTGAAAATATCTAACGGCACTTCAGATGGCCAGCTGCAATCTACAGTTATACCACTATTTGCCCCAAGCCATCATTTTAAATGTGATGCAGACAATTTTCGTTTACAGAGTTTACTAGAAAATATTTCGTTGCATTTACTATTAAGGTAGAAACCTAGTCATAATTTTTGACAAAATTGGTCATAAATCGCATGACAATGTTCATTATATAATATATAATCATGAAGCTAATGTCACATGGTACAATGAAATAGCAATATTTTGTGTGTTACAGTTAAGCTTTTTGAGAAATGTGTCCTAATATTTTTTTAAAATTGCTATTTTTAGGACAATTCAATAAAACACAATGTTAAAGAAAAAATTGTATTTTTTCACACTTTTTAAAACCCACATTTTTTAAATAGTTCAGAACAAAAAGTACTCCAGTATTAACAATATATGATCTTTTCAGTCTATGTCACCAGGCTAGATTTTGAGATATTGCATAATATCTCTGCCATAGGAACCTATGGTAAAAGTGTTATAATAGTGTCAAAATGGCGATTTTCCATTGAAATACAACCATCATTTTCTTGAAAAAAAGGCTGGTGACCCCAATATTTTTTTCGGTCAATATCTTTATATTGCCTTGGAGTACAGTTCATTGTTGTGGGGAGATTCATTTCAATTATTGATCTTTTATTCATAACCATGTTTTCTTCGTATTTCATTTTTTGCATGTAATGCTATGAGAAACTAG